GAGGACACATCAAAAAGTAGTGACATAATAGTTCATTTACAATCTATGTTTGCCCACCACAGGATACCCGATGAATTGAGATCAGATAATGGACCCCAGTTCTCAAGTCGGGAATGTAAAAACTTTGCTGAGAAATATGGGTTCATGATTGTGACCAGTAGTCCAATATATAGCCAGTCAAATGGAGAGATTGAACGGGCTGTCAGGACTGTTAAGCAGCTCATAAAAAAATCAGCGGATCCATACTTGGCATTAATGGCATACCGGGCAACCCCATTAGCCAATGGATATAGTCCAGCTGAATTGCTATTTGCTCGTCGTATTCAGACGACAGTCACAATTCTACCATCACAGTTAAAACCCAAACTGCATGATATAGAAAATCTTAACAAGTTTGAGAGGGATTATCATGCGAAAGCTAAATTGAACTATGATAGGTCACATCGTGTCAAGGATATGCCTGAACTTAAACCAGGAGCAAAAGTTCTGGTTAAGGACATGCAGTCCCATGGTGAGGTTGTGCATAAATTGCGTGAACCTAGGTCTTATGAAGTAGCTATGCCCTACAGGGTGATTCACAGAAATGAGAAGTATTTAGCTCCATGTGGTCATGAGGATGACCTCCCACCACAAATTGAGGTGAATGGAAAATCTGAAACCACAGTTCAGGGGGCACCATTGAGCATGGGAACTGAAAAGCAAAATGTGGTACACAGACCCCAGCCTGAATCATCTACTCTGCAAGAATCAAACTTTACTGAATATAGAACCAGATCAGGCAGAGTCATTAAACCTCCCAAGAGATTAGATTTGAATCCTTTTGACTTGCAATTACTGTATTTCTTCAGATAGTTTTGAGTTGTTTTTTTTTTTTTTGCCAGTCTTATTGGCATTAATGTGTTGTATTTTTGAAGTTGTTCGCATTGTACTGAAACTGTACTTTATGGTGAGTTTGACTTGTAAGGGGGGGATGTTGTGTTAGCTATTTATAGCCTCGGGGTGCTTCGGGTGAACTCGGGGTGCTTCGTAGAGATACGCAGACGACGTTGTAACATTTGTAATAGTTACCGATAATAAATCTGGATATTCACCATTATCCTGGAAGTGATCGGAGTTATTTGATAACACTACAAGCTACAATACCGACTAGAAGCATCAACGGTTGCCCATCCCTACGGAGACAGTCGCGATGCACACTGCTATTTTAGAAGTCCGGTGAACAAAGAGATGCCTTTATCACATCCGCCAAGCGACGTAAACCTAATTGATATTTATTTAATCGAGTGGCTATTGGTCGACCCATCGCAGGTCTACACCAAGTCGATGGCTTCATCGATTTGAGCTTTGGTCACCCAATTCTAACCTCGCCACAGACTAGTACAGCAGGGAACCTCCCATTTACATTAATATGCGTATAATGTTCCTCACCTGGATGTATCCACATAGAAGTATGCAGCTAAAAAGTGTACTTTGATTGAATCGTCTTTGACCTCTGTCGTTAATTCTTCCCTTTTGGAACCAGCTTGACCTTCCACTACCCGTATTAGTAGCCAGCAATAGTGTGCCGGGTATAACTAGCCGACAATAGAAACAGGATTTAACACAGTAGATTCGCATAAACACGCTTGTTTATGCCAAATCTAAGTGGGTCTTCACTTGTGATTATGTCATAAACTATAACAAATGCAATTACACACACACACGTCGTTCTGGGTTAATTGTGTACATACCCTGAATAGTGATGCTCGTATTGTCGACTACTATTGTCGGCTACCATTATAGTAGTCTTCCGCCAATCACAGCTGTTTATTGAAACACTTAAAATTCCTCAGAAGAATGGTTACACTAACCATGGACGTACTAGTAGGCATCCTTCCGTCTCGGGAGACGATGGGTTTGCGCCCATATATTTAAAACCTACAAATTGTTCGACAAATCTAAAGCACGACAATGGTTTTAAAACAAAAAACTACAGTTAAAAAAACTGGTGATAATAATAATAACAAATAAAATTAGCAATATACAGTAAGGCCAGAATTGTGTTATTCCTTGTTTCTCGAATTTTTATAAGGCAATTTTTTTGAGGAGGGCGGAAAAAAATTAAATCATTTTTTTGTTTCCATCAGATTTGTGTGATTCCCAAAGAATTGTAAGTGAGATCATTGATCAGACAGAAGAAATAAAATAAAATCTTATTCCATGTTTCTCATCTGCGCGAGACTTCGGTGGTTTGATCATGATACTCCCACGAAAATGCAACTTGGGTTTGTTATGCGCCGGGCGGAAAAAAATTAAGATAAAAATAAGTTTTTTTTAGCAATTTTTTGCACTTACAAGTCGGCGGGTGCGAGAAATTACGCTGCAATTAAATTTTATTTCTATTTCATTTTCGGCGGGTTCGCGAAACAAGGGATAATAAAAGTCTGGCCTAAATAAATCAATAAAACATGGAAGAGCACAAAATTAAAAACAAACAGCGCCAAGTGATGACTAAGAAAGACATCGAGTTACGAACATCGAGTTACAACGACCACGCTCATATTTCAGAAACCACGCCCACTTCTGTGAAACCGTGTGAAACCATGCCCATATTGTAACTCGATGCTCAATTAAAGCTGGAGAGTCATCACCTGCGCACGCGCGGGAATTGAGTCCCAAGCGACGACAACATGTGCCAAGAACGCAAAGGCTCATGGGTAGACGATTGTTTGTAAACAATGACACGCTATGGCCACTGCCCCGCTTTAACAGTTAACAGAACTTCGAGAACGTCCTTTTTAATGACACGTTATCAGTAGGTAATTTCTACATAGTGCCCCACCCCCGGGGGGGTATACATGTAAATCATTTGTGGCATGAGAAAATGTGCGAAATGTGAAAATATAGTTAGAGTAACAACAGAAAAAAAAATAAAGCAGAATTTGAAAAATCACAAAAATAAGTTGCGCACTTGAAAAGTAAAGTAAACTGATGTTTTATTAAATATTGTAAACAATTTTCTTTGCTATGTTTTAAGTTTGCCTTTTTAATATTTTTGAATGTAATTTGCTAGCTCTTTTTATTCTTATCTCATATTTGTGTTACATTTCATCTTAAATCTTGATATGAACACAAAACGATTATTATTACTGTTATAAGGACAGTTTAATGATCAGTGTTTCCTCTGAAAAGTTGGGTTATTCTCAAATTGAAATAAATCAATGACTATCATTATTTTGACCTCGACGATTTCAAAAAAATGCAAAGAAAGCCCCCAGAATGTAATAATTATAGAAGAAGTATTATAAGTACTCTTAAACTAAAAATAAATGACAATGACAATTAATTTCATTTCCTTGTATCAATCTGCAGTTTGTACATTATGCACATAAAATAAATATGGTTACAAGAAAAAGGAGACATCACGAAGCACTGCTTATTGATGATGTTCCCTGTTTACACACTGCAACGATCTCACCCTGAAGTTTCAGCGCACGGAAGATTTTTGCAGGACGAGGGCATTACGAGTCATTTAGTATCAGAAATGCCCCAGACCACTAAAGAATGAGGAAATGTACAGTACAGGAAATGTTTTAAAGTGCGCCATCTACGTCCAGTTTACACAAAATGGCTGCCCCCATGTGCAGCAGAGTGTTTCCCTGGCTTTCAAACTTTTCATCAAATTTCCACAAATACAGATGTTTTCTTCCGCTTTGGAACGCGACGAATATCAACCAAACAAGGAACTACTCAAGAAGAGGACTTGTAAGAAAGCCCATAAAAGTGATTCCGGCCGTCCCTTCGGAAACTGTGGATAGCGGATCTGGCGAGACTGTCAATGTTGGATTCTTTCGTCAGTTCGATAGAGCGAATGAGTTCAAGCCGGAATTAAAGTCGCCACCACCTGGACAGGATCTCCACGTCAATAAATTGGAAAACGTAGCTGATCATGTCGATGCTCAACCAAGACTAAGATTTGAAAAAGTTAACGCTGCTGACAAGCGGGTTAGGTAAATCGAAAGGATCACATCACTTGTTACCTGTAACAAGTCTTTTATTAACATATATGGGTTTGTTTGTTTTTTCTCTTTTTTGATATTTTATTTTATTAGACGCATAAAATCCTTAGGAAAGGATAAAAAGGGTCTTACAGAAAGAAATTAAAAAACTATTACATGAAAAGGAAAAAAAAAAACTTTTCTAAAAATTTAAAACAAATCAAAAACAAATATGAATAAACAATAAAGACAATTTGCAGCCAATGGTGAATACAGAATATAGAATGAACACTAAATGTTACCTAATACACTGATAGTTGTTGCTGTTTTGTTCCATATCTGTTTTTTAAGAAGACAGCAAAGGCTGGTGCTAGAGTATGGTTT